GGTCACGCGGATACCGGTAGGCGGGAATCGTCAACGGAGTTTCCAGCAGCGGTCGCGCGAGCGCCACTAAGCAAGGGCGACAGCGCCGCCAAGCGGCTAGTTGGGGGAACCCAACTCGGAATAGTGAAGAGACTCTGCGCAGGCGCACTCCGAGACAAGGTAGGTTGATGTGCTTTGAGCACATAGATAACTAGGCGTCGTCTAGTCATTGTAAAGGTATATTCAAGAGATTATAGACTAAACGGCAGCCTGTTACAATTATCAAAAAACATATGCAGCAACCGTAACTGAAAATTATATGGTTCAAACAACGCTATCGCAGATACTGTGGCGAAATGTCAGAAAAAATTGTAAAGTACGATGCAATTGAATATGATAAGTTGTTTTTTTATATCATTCATTTAAATTTACCAAAATGTAATTAAAATGGTTAGGCATTTATATATCATTTTGGTTGTTAATAAAAGTTCTTATCGTTTTGACATAGATGTTATAGAAATCTATTAATAATAATAGGTTTCAATAATTATTTTACTATGGCAGCTTGTTAAAGATAATACATCCAAAAAATGATTTGCAGTGATTTTAATTCAATGAAAATTAATAATCATCTAGAGAATTCCAAATTTAATTTTGAATAAGTTTGAATGATCATTTGTACGTTTCAGATCAATGATTAAGACTCGTTGACTTATTTCCAATAGTTTTTAATTGAATTCTTTTAACAGAAGCTCTTGGACTTGGAGACAACTGGTTCACAAATGGCTCCAAAACAGACAGAAGTAGTGAATACGAAAATAGACGTAGCTCTCAGTTTAAAGAAGTGTTCCAAACAGATATATCTGGTCTTAGGACTTGTGCCAAAAATTTGGTACAGAGCAATATTGGAAACAGAATATTTGAAATATGTACCGACAGGCAAACATCAGTAAACCCGTATACTACTTCAACTCTAGTAAAGGAGGTCAAACATACTTAAATAAAGTAGCATTGACAAAATTGAGATTGGAAAAGCTAGCTTCAGCGCCTCTGCCGGCTGGAATCACAAGCCGTGAGATAGTTTCGCGTTGAAACGCATCTACATGTGTTTACATTGAAACTTGTATGAAGGCTATCATTTACATGGTATTTTTATAGTTATACTTGGACTATTTGATTACACAAATTATTTAAATACTTTGTAAAAGGTTCATAAACATATCTTACAAATTGGAGAATCAACAGCTTCCTCGGAGAAGCAAGATTTATTGCTGTGTAAAAAATTGTGGTTCTCGAGCTCGCGTCAACAATGAACTTACTTTTCACTTTTTTTCATCGCCAGCAAAATATATCTACCAAAAAAATATGTTTGCAAACATACAAAATTGAAATTTGCAACTCATGTAGATCAAAGCTTTCAATATCAAAGGGCCCTTGAAAAGTTTTTGAAACGTGTGCTCCAAACATTTTACTGCAGATGATTTTTCCCTAAGTAGTAAAAAAATAATTCCACCTGCAATAACTTATTATTTGTTGGGCGTACTTTTTTAATTCATAAATTTTTTTATTGAAGGAACTATTAAAAGATTAAAGAAAACAGCTGTTCCCTCGTTATATTTACCATCTCATGAAAATCTAAAGAACGTCGTGGCAAGTAAAGTAATAAAAAAGCGCGCAGATATAAAAATAGGTCATTAAGGTCTCATTATTAATATTATTATCATTGATATTTTTATCAATTTTCTTCGACCTTAATAACCTATTTTTCCAAACATATTTTTTTGGTAGATATATTTTGTGGGCGATGAAAAAAAAGTGAAAAGTAAGTTCATTACTGACGCGATCTCGAGAATCACAATTTTCTACACAGCAATAAATATTGCTTCTCCGAGGAAGCTGTTAATTTTTCAATTTGTAAGACATGTTTACGAACCTTTTACAAAGGATTCAAATAATTTGTGTAGTCAAATAGTCCAAGTATAACTATAAAATACCATGTAAATGATAGCCTTCGTACGAGTTTCAATGTAAACACATGCCGACGCGTTTCAACGCGAACCCGTCTCAAGACTCGTGATTCCAGCCGGCAAGGGCGCTAAAGTTAGCTTTTCCAATTCCAATACCGTTATCATCACTTGAATACATGCAGTGATGAGAATCCGATGACGCTACAAATAATTTTATTTTCATGAAGTTGTATCGTATCTAATTGGTTTATATAACTATGATCAAGATTCAAAGCCGGCATTCCCGTAGCATATTGGTCATAGCTGTATAAACGATATAGATGTGATACGACTTCGTAAAAATGAAATTTTTTGTAGCGTCCTCGGATTTTCATCACTGAATACATGGACCTCAATGTACTAGAATAATAATAGAGCAGACAAATTTGCTAAAGGAGTAGAGCAAACCGCTCAACGAAACTGGATGTTAGAAATGCATGCCATACCAAGAGAGTTGTAATGTTATTGACATTAAAATGAAATAGGAATAATAATATACAACTCTAACACTATATTAAACCATTTTAAATTTCAAATAATCTTTTTAAATAATCTTAATCGTGGTGAATAGATGTTATAAGTTTGCTATAAGTTCTTTCACAAAAATTAATTTCTATGAGCAAAATTATTCATTACTTATATTATAAAATCGATAAATGGTGATCTAGTCATAAAAAGTAGCATTGATCATCAAGTCACTTTGACAAAATAGTACAAACCTTCAATTAACCTTGACAAAATAGTACTGACTTTCAATGACCTTGACAAAAGGTAGTATTGTACGTCAAATTTATTTTCTTTATAAAAAATAGTATCGACTTTCATGTTATCTTGAGAAAGATCTACGTCATAGATTACTGCTCAAAACGATTCACATATATATTTTATGAAGTAAGAAGATGAAATTTTAAGAGCTATTCAACCAATCACTAGTCGTTTTCATATAGAAAAAATATAATTATTCTGAAAATTATATTTTTTATTTACTTTCAGAGACATTCTAAGAAGGTAAAAAAGCAAAATTATAATTTGAGATGGAAAGATTGATCTAAAATCACTAAATAATTTTTTTTTTCAATAAACCCATTGAATTCCCACCTACAATTCACTCTGCTATTTGATTTGTGTACGAGCTGCTCGCAATCCCCACTTCACTACATCCACCGTTACGATTGATTGATGCGAAATAGGAGTGTGAAATTTTTTATTTTCCTATAGTTTGAAATAGCTATATTATATATCTATAAGTGAGAGATTTATCTTTCAACAGTAATTTCAATTTATGAGTAATTATTATGGTCAATAATCTGTAAAAATGATAATATGCCATTAATAAATCGTTTTAAGAAAATAGAAAGTTATATTTTTAAATTATGCTGAGATAATTAGTATTAATCAATAATTGATTACAATTTCTGAAATTATTAGTATCGTATTGAAATGTGATTTGAAGAGAGAAAAAGTTAATAGAATAGAATGGAGGAAATTACATTTTTATTTTTTTTTTTCATTGTAAAGTGAGATGTATGATAGGAAAGAGAAACTAATCAAAATATTAAATTTAAAGAATGTTTATGGTTGTTTTCAATGAGGCAACAAAATAATATATGATATTAAAATAGATTATTTATACTAATATATCACGGAGGCCGTCGAAAATCATTGCCATTGAATAAATATACAAGGTAACCCAATTTAAACGGGCACCGCAAATAACTCGTCCGGGACGGCCCCAATCGAAAAAATGGTAGACTAAAGTTGTAGGATATCGAGGGGGAAGTTAGATGGTGACCTTGGATTTAATCTTGAACGCGATTTTCAAGGTTATTTGAAGGTCAACCTGGAGTTTTTAAATAGGAACCCTACTTTTTTATTGCGGGAATGAAAAGAGCGGGAAATTTGAAATTAGTTGAAACTACTAATCTTGTTACTAAACGTATAAACATCGACCGGGGCATGATTTCAATCCTTCATCGGCAGGTGCCTTCACGTCTTGCCTTCATCAGCTGGGCTACGATTCTTGCATTCATCGGCCGGTTCCCAATGGGACCTAAAAATCCTGCCTACTACGTCCTCGTCGTAGGTCCTGGACATCAAGTTTCGTAATGATGACGAAATGCAGAAAATGGTACGCTAAATGATAAAAATCGTTTCTTCTATTTTAAATTAACTACTTCATTTAAAACGTAACATTTTACGCGCTTTCAGAATCCGAAGTCAAGAAAAGGTACTGTTTAAAAAAAAACATTTGACCTCGAAATGATCTTAATGAACTACGTCAAATCCAAAGTCACTATCAGACTTCCCCCTCGATATCCTACAACTTTGGTTTTTACCATTTTTTTGATTGGGACCCTGCTAGAGGACTTATGTTGGTGGGATTTAAAACTGACTGCATGACCTTGAGATGACCTCCGGTAGTGCAACCAAACATACCATTCTGAACGTACATTTTTCCGCTATTTATTCTCGCAATTAAAAAGTAGGGTTTCTATTTATAAACTCCAAGTTGACCTTCAAATGACCTTTAAAATCGCGTTCAAAATCAAATCCAAGGTCACCATCTGACTTCCCTCTCGATATCCTACAACTTTGGTCTCTACCATTTCTTCGATTGGGGCCGTCCCTGACGAGTCATTTGCGGTGCCCGTTTAAATTGGGTCACCCTGTATAATGATACAAATAATGTAACATATAAAAGAAAAACAAAGAAAGACGTGCCAACATGTTAAATAAGGCTAGAACATATAAATTTTTCATAAGTTGAATTTATCACTAACATATATACCGACTTAACTTCTACATACATAACACATGTTTCAAAATATAATAAAATTAACATTTTCGCGCCCTTATGCATCAAATAGTCAATATTTAATCCACTAACATCATTTTGTTAAGATAAAAGCCTAACTAATTTTTGTACTGATAAGTAAAATATGAAATCGATTTAATAGATAGATATTTCTATTGCTACATATATAATATGTAGTACAATAGATGTTGCTTACATACCCATTATAAAAACAATAAGCACCAAAAACGGTAATGCTGTAAAAACTTGTTGTAACATTTTGAAAAATATTTGTGCACGCCCACGAGGTTTTTGACCATGACCTGCTAAATATCCTTCTACAAAAGCTGCTTTTATATGCTGAACTTCATCAAGTTTTATGTATTTATCTCCTTGAAATTTTTTCAATTTATTTAAGTCAGTGTATTCTCTGGATAACAGAATGCCATTCATTTTATCACTAATTAATCCTTCTCTATTGTGATCCTTATCATGAAGATATATACTTATATATTAGAATATTCAATACATATAATACTTATAGTTACAACATTAAACATCTCATGTATTTTTTTAAAAAACTAAATGTATATGAATTTACTAAAACATTAAAAAATCAGTACCATTCAATACAACTTGATTCGTTAATGACAGGTAAAAACTCTAAATCTTTTATAGATACTCAATATATACAATATATAATTATTTTATACAAAAAAAATTTTAATCTACTTACATATTTAGTATTTAATCCAAACCATTTACGGATTCTAGTAATCAATGTTGGATTTCGATTCAATTCCGCTTTAATATTACGATCTGTTTTGAAACATCTAAACTGTATGTTATAGGGTTGCAATGTTGTAGATAAACATTTCTTTCTAAACCTGCAATCAGGTTTAATATGAAAGAAGATACTAGACATATTATCTTGATCAAGAAAGCTTCTAGAATATGAGCCATTCTTATTTTTCGTAAAACTAGTACTAGATATATAAGATACTTTCCATTTATTATTACTTATTGGAATCTTGATATTATCATTCTTAGATAATTTCTCTAACACTTGCCAGGCGTCACTTTTAAATAACCTCAAAGGTAATGTTAAATTTTCAATATCTGATTGGTCAAATGTGAAATAACTGCATTTTTCATTAATCTGAATCATATATACAAATATATAGAATACTTTTAATTATTGAAAAAATAAATTGTTGTTAACAATTAATGCATTCTATCTATGTTATTGTTCTGTAGAAGAAATTTCTTATTTTCTTTTACAAAGGTTACAAATATAACAACAGTTCCATTACAATCAAATTTTAATTAATTATACTTAAACTACAGTTCAAAACGTTACCTTTGAATATTTATTCTTTTTTAAAATGGTGTCTGTAGTTTTTATTTTAGAAGAATTACTTTGTTTTTGCACTTGAATAGCAAACGTTATGGATTTAGGTGTAATGGCAGATGTAAACTGGGTCAAATAGTGAAGAACCTAAAACATGAAAAATTATAGTACATAAGAATACTATTTAATTGCAAATTTCACAAAATAATTAAAGAATACTATATCATATTTAAAATAAAATATAATGTTAAACAGTCAACAATATATTATTGTGAAATAAATTTTTAGTAACTATGCAACAATTAGAAGTTTTCTTGATTATGTTTCTGTATATTTATGCATGTGTATGTATGTGTGTCTCCGTTACTTTTTTGCATACATATTAATGTTAATAATGCTACATACAAACTACAGGTTAATTTCAAACTGTTGCATTAGATAAATGTTTCATATAATTCACTTAAACAATTTAATAATTTATAATACACATATATAAAACCATGCTGATGTTCATACGTACTTGATTATGAGACTGTAGTGAGATCATGTTTTATTAAAAATTATGGTTAATTAATTAATTAACTCGCACAAATTTTGAATATTGAATATTTTTAGATAACGAAATATGATATTTAATTGGCTTGCTACAACCGATAAATGATATTTTACTTATGATCAACTCAATAATCAATAAAAGAATAAATAGATATTTAGTTTATGAAACATTCACTACTCTTTACTTTGTATGTACATATTAACATATTTCTTCCACATTAGGGCGTTCACAGAGCGATTCAGACACTATCTACAACATCAATTTTTTAAGTATTATCATCAGGGGCAAATTACAGATAAAAATTTAGATATGGAAAAACTCAATGGAAATGTCAGAAATAACGTAAATATAATCCCTATAGGCTGTGTAACTTAAAATTTGGCATTAGTTGTTTTGAAGAGGTCACTGCAACGATGAGCATTCGGTCACCCATCTTACACTTCTTTTTTTCCTATTCGTAACGCCTCTAGGTCTGTTGTACACTTGTGGCTATTCTATCATCATACCGTGTCCGAATTCCGCGTTTCAAGTTCATTTTGTTTCAAAGAGAGAAAATAAGAAAATTCTCAATTGTACAATATGTAGCTATTGTTTGATATAAATTGATGTGAGCCTCGAGAAATACTGATTATTTATTTTCAAATACAATTCGATATGTAGCCTAGTAGTAAGAGCAAAAGTCCAAAAAAAGAGGTATTTTAACAAATATAGTTTATATTTTCATACTATTTTTTAAAGAATTAAGAAAAATGTAGACATATCATAAATTGTCAAATCCTAATTAGTTTATTCTTATTTAAGCTATGTAAGTCCGTAGGTTATATGGTAAATTTAGTAAATTATAATTCTTGTTTGAAACATTTTCTTTATTATAGCTAGAACAGCTGAAAATAAATGAGTCAATAAATATAAGATAATTATATCTAGAACGTAATACCGAATTGAAATTTCCAGAGCAAATAGAACAGAATGGAAAGAGTAGACTTCGGTCCAAACAGAGTCTAACACTGAAAATGTTGAAAGTAATTGTGAAACAGTGTCAAAGTATGTTTAATTATTAAAATTTTATAGATTGATATTTATTATTTTTAATTCTTTTTTAATTTAGATATTACAGTTCTGAACCAAATGCTGAAGTGTCAAAACATACTGCTGACGATAACAGTAACAAAGTCAACTCTTTATATTCTGTTCAATTTGCTCTAGAATTTTGATTCAGCATTACGCTTTAAACATTGTCTAGCTATAATAAAGAATTTAAAATGTTTCAAACAAGAATTATAATTTACTAAATTTACCATATAACCTACAGACTTACATAGCTCAAATAAGAATAAACTAATTAGGATTTGACAATTTATGATATGTCTACATTTTTCTTAATTCTTTAAAAAATAGTATGAAAATATAAACTATATTTGTTAAAATACCTCTTTTTTTGGACTTTTGCTCTTACTACTAGGCTACATATCGAATTGTATTTGAAAATAAATAATCAGTATTTCTCGAGGCTCACATCAATTTATATCAAACAATAGCTACATATTGTACAATTGAGAATTTTCTTATTTTCTCTCTTTGAAACAAAATGAACTTGAAACGCGGAATTCGGACACGGTATGATGATAGAATAGCCACAAGTGTACAACAGACCTAGAGGCGTTACGAATAGGAAAAAAAAAGTGTAAGATGGGTGACCGAATGCTCATTGCTGGGTCACTGTTCACTGTTCACTGTTCATGTTATTGGCACCAAAGGGGCTACAGCCCAGTTTTAGTTTCAATTTACTAGATGGCGGTGAGTCTCTTAGCTGAGATTCCGATATGCCAAAACGTATGCATTGACCAAGGAGAATTCGAAGTTTGAAATTCAAGTAGTAAGAGTATTTGGCTGTAAGAAGTATGCGTATGTATAGGTGTGTGTGTGTGTGTATGAGGAGTCTCGTGTAAAAGGTTGGTCGCAGTGTGAGGTAGCCAAACTCACACTCGAGAGGTGGGTAAGTTAGAAAGCGTTTCGTCCCGATGCTACCCTGCTAAAAAAGTTCCATTCATTCCTATTCGGGATCATTCATATTCAATGGTAATCAATGAACTGAATGGTTCAATGTTCCGATGACGATTGAAACTGAATGATTTTCAATAATACTTCATGGTAAGCATAACTAATAGTAAAACTTACCATTAAATTTAATAGAATTCAATCTTTCTGAATAATACTTTGTATAGGAATGGTTTCAATGATAATCTATCCAATTGCATTGAATGAATATCAATCGCATTCAATGAGGTATAGTATTCTATAATTTCTTATGAAAGGCAAACAAAAAAATTTCAAATATTTTCAATTGAATATTTTTTAATGAAATCTAATGATTGGTAAATGCAAGTAAAACTCAATCGTATTCTATTGAGAAGTTGTTTGTATAGTTTTGAATAATCCTTCATTCTACAAACTTATCAAATATAATTTTATTCTATAATTTTTCATTAGATGATGAAAGAAAAAATTTCCATAATTGAATGATTTTTTATAAATTTGAATAGTTGTTCGATACTATAATTGAAGAATCGTATCTTATGCTTTGGATATTATAATTTTATATAGGTCATGAATGAAAAAACTCCGTATATAATTTGATTGAATAGACTTTTATCAATTTTAATAGTTTTTAAGTAAAAACATATTCGAATATAATTTTTAATGGTTATTCGATTTTTTTTCAATTGTAAATAAATGGATTGATGTGATCTTCACATTAAAAACTATTCAAAATTATTCAACGTCAGAAAAAAAGTTGATCATGCGATAAAAGACCATTAATACCCATTCAATTAGATTGATATTTTCTATTGCATATTATTGAAATGTTAGGACTTTCATATTCAAAACTATTGAAAATTATTCAACGATACGAGACTTGAATGTTGCAATAACAAACCATTGATATCAATTCAATCAAATTGATTATCGCATTCGAATGGTTTCAAATCTTCGATTTGACCACGAATTTTACCATTGAAATCGATTGGGTAACATACATGAGAAATTTCATTGAATCCTATTGAAAACCATTACTTTAATAGTATATTTTTCTATTGATAATGATTAATCTCGATTAGGAATCAATAGTAATCTATATTATTGGAACCAATAGTATTTAATATCTTGACATTTCTTGTTGGATGAGGAATCATATTCAATGGTCATTTGGAGTGTTCAGATCGAAGATTGAAAACCATTCAGAAATTCTTCAATGGTTTTCAATGGAACTTTTATAGCAGGGTACCGGCTGGACTGGTCAGTGAGGCTCGACGGCCAGTAACATCTACCTCATACGCTCGAAGTGCTGCTCGTACCGCTATGCGGACTTATATATTTAGCGAGCGTATTTCTTGCCGCTCGTGGCTAGCCGATACCATCTAGATGTGGACGGCCGAGTCAAGAAACAGCCACAAGTAGTTTATAGTTAAGGTTGATAAATTTAATTCTATTGGTTAGATAGATTTGTGTACAGTGTAGGATTGTATAAAGAAAAGAGTAAGGATTGGAAGGAGATATTTGTTTAGTGATTTAGGATTTTTTATAAATTGAGAGTTTGCATTTGTTGAGAAATTCGGTTAAGAAGAGACATGAGGGACGAGTAGGGAGTTTTATATATTGATTGTTGTAGTTATTGAGGAAGTTTTAATTTTTTGTGAATATTTGTTTAGTTTTTTGATTAGTGTTTCTCTCTGAGATAAATATGTAGGGCAAGACCAAACAATATGGTTCATGTCTTGTATTGGAGATCAAGATTGATATGAGGGGGAATTTATAAAGTTCTTTCTGTATAGACTAGCTGCTAGAGAATAGTGATTGCTTCTGAGTCTCTTAATAGAGGTGATATGTTTTCTATGAAGGTAAAATTTGTGGAACCATGGTTTACGTGTGGATGAGTAGTAATTATGAAAGTAGTGAGATCCTTTGTAGGAGCTTTGATCTAGTACAATGGATTGAAAATATGCTTTATGAGAGTGTTGAATATTTTCAAGAAAATCAGTGTATGGGAGCAGAATTAATGTGTTAACGCCTTTTGTGATAGCTGATTTAGCTAGTTGATCTACTGTTTCGTTATGTGTGTTTGAGAGTGAGAGGGAATCCATAGTGAGTGAGTGTTCCATTGTAGGATTTTTATATGATTGATTATTATTATTGTTATTGAGAGTCAATTTGCTGTTTTGTAAATGTGATTATAGTGTTTGAGGTGATAAGATTGAGAAAGTTTTATGGTGGGAGTTGGGGAGAGTTAGGAGGAGATGTCTGTGTTAGATATGTAAATTGCATGACTTTGGGATTTATCAAGAGATTGATAAGAATGTTGGCATATTCTTCGTGTGAGATTAGTATGTTGTTAAATAAGTATCCGTTATCATGTTGAATGATATGTAAATGACCAACGTTGTATTCGTCTGTTTCGGTTGGTTTATATTGTTGTGAGAAGTCATGAGTGATACCTGTTATTTTAGAATTTAAGTTGTAGATACCACTAGGATTTATTAGTTTCTAGATGATTTTTGAGGTAAGGAGAGGAAGGTTTCGTTGAGTGGGTTGAGATAGGAGTGTTGTGTGAGTTTTTTTTTGAGGTTATTTGAGAGTATGAGAGTGTGTATTTATTTATATTGTGAGAAGATGAAGATGAGGGGTAGTGAAGAGGGTGATTAGAAAGAGGTGATTCGGAGTTATTAGGATTTTTTTGAGATAATTCTTCGTAGGTGAGAGAGTTGTGTAAATCAGGATAATTAGAAAAATGAGATTTAGATTTTTCTATTTCTTTGTATTCTGTTTTCATTTCTTGTATAGATTTGTTTTTTATTATGGAGATAGAAAGTATTTTTTGTTGGGTGGGACAGTTTTTTATCGGTGGGAAGATGATTTTGATGACAGTTGAGGCAGGAGGGGTTCTTTTTTTTATCAATGACTTGGCAGGTATCGGAGGGATGATTCTTTACACAATATAGGGATCTAGGATTATTTGATTTGCAGATAGTTTTAGTGTGACCATATCGATTGCAGTTCGTGTAGAGCCTTATGTTAGGAATATATATTTTAATGTTAATTTTAACTCTGAATAAGTAGATGAAGTGGGGAAGTGTATGTCCTTTGAAGTTAATTTGGATGGTTTCAGTAGGAAGAAATGTGGGTTGATC